TTTAGTTACTCTGCAGCTGCTCTTTAGTTACTCTGCAGCTGCTCTTTAGTTACTCTGCAGTGGCTCTTTGGTTACTCTGCAGCGGCTCTTTGGTTACTCTGCAGCTGCTCTTTGGTTACTCTGCAGCGGCTCTTTGGTTACTCTGCAGCGGCTCTTTGGTTACTCTGCAGCTGCTCTTTGGTTACTCTGCAGCTGCTCTTTAGTTACTCTGCAGCTGCTCTTTCAAACTTTGACCAAAACATAAAATTGCATTTTATTGGTTGTTATAACAACTAAAAAGACTAGCTTTGTTTTCCTGTCATTTCTTTTGCAAACATGTGAATACTAGAACAAGTACAAGGAGTAAAACATGCTAACTTTAACTTTATTTCTATACTTAATAATTTTTTTCCACAGTTAAAAAAAGTACATAGGTCTGCATAGTTCATAGTTTTTGATAATTAAAGAAACTACCACCCCCCCACCCCCCCCCCCCCCCCCGGGCTAACACTTGACATCTAAATGTCTGTGGTAAAACTCAACCAAGTGCTATCAGCTATTAGCTTCTCAATGACGGCTTGTAACTCGGGTAAGGCTACATCAGAAAAATATCTCTGACTGGGGACGACGAGGTTCAACGTAGTCCAAAAATCTTCAGAATCCAATATCCTCAACGACAAAAAACTTCCACACCGCCGACATTTTGAATTTTCCTCTCCGCCGTGATCAGATCAGGTAGGCGCACGTGACGTCATCACGTTGTGCTGACGCTGCAGTCATCCTTATCACTGGGTTGTCATACAAAAACAGCATCTTTTATAGCGGTGAGTTATTTTAATGGAATGGCCAATGTACGATATTTAACTTTAACGCTAATGTCGGCCGATAGCGATACCATGCCGATAATATCGTGCATCCCTAAAACAACAGGTTTGGTGAGGAAAACTGGTAATCTGTGATGATGATGATGATGATGATGATATAAATATCAAATCTGGTTTGTGCAAGGACCAAAAACAAAATATCATTGACAAGATATCTGCTGTTGTTAAGCAAAGTCAAATATAACTTCATTGGATTGCACCATTAAAGCACAAAAATCCAAGTTGATGAAAATTTGTATTTATTTAATTAAAGCAACTTTTAATGTGTAAAGCAAATAATCATGAATTGGATTTTTTTTTCATCCTTGATGTGTAAAGATTCATTTTTTAATATAGTGTAAAATGCATTTATGGTGTCTGCTAGCATTTATACTTTATGCCAAGCAATTTATTTATTTTTTTACTTAAAAACTTTTAGATGAAAAACACTTTTTCAATTTTTCTAAACATGAAAAAATATATGAGGGAATTTATTTTTCTTAAATAAAACAAAACCAGCAAAAATTGCACAAACATTCCTACAAATTCTAATACTAATGAAAACATTGCTGTTTTTTTTTAAGTTAATTAATCAGAAAACTAAGCTTTGATATGCACAAATAAGCCAAAACATTATGAACACCATTCTAATCTTTATTACATCTCCCTTTTGCCAGGTTGCCAACCTAACATCAGGAGATCATAAAATGAGTCGTGGTGATTTGGATCAAGTTGTTCCAGTCACTTCTCCCTCCCGCAGTCGGTGCACAATATGTTGTCTCTCTGAGTGAGGAAACCACGTCCCACCAAAGACACGGAGCACAGCAGGCAGGTGAAACACTCGCTATGCCACTGGCGCTCCTCAAAAGAGACATATTTAGCACCTGCCAAACCTGCACACCACAAACACATCCACGTTTTTGCATTCGAGTCATTTGAGAACTGTTAGAAAAAAGCTGCGCCGTTTGAAAAATGAGTGTAAGTATAAACAGAAACTTACAAGAGATGGGCTTGGTGCAGCCCACACACTTCTTTGCAAACAGGTTGTTGAAACACTCCAGGCAGTATGGGTAATTCTCCCTGGAGGTGAAGCGATGGCCTGATAACTGCTTCCTGCAGCCAATGCAGAGGAAACATTCACGATGCCAAGGCTTCTCTTGGTACGTCACGCCTCCCGTTGTGATGGCCTATAGAAAGGCAAAGATAAAATAAATATATTTACATAAATGTACATAAAAACATTAACTTCTTGAGCTGAAGCCTTTCAGTCATGGTGTAATCCCAAAAAAGCAAGAGATGAGGACACGAAGACCGTCAGATGTAACCCTACCTTCTTACATGCACAGCACTGGTATGCAAACTGCTTTTCGAAGCAGGGCACACAGAAGTAGCCGGTGTCTTTAGGGATGAAGGACTTGGTTCCCATTGGCTGCTGGCAGCGGTGGCACAGGAAGCAGGTCTCATGCCAGCTGTTGCCCCTGTATTCCATTTTTCGAGAACCTGGCACAAGAGAAAAGATCAGCTAAGCCTTCATGTGGTACTCTAATGACAGAATTACACCATGCCTAAAATAGTGCAACGCGTCTGCAGGGAGGGGTCTGCCCACTCTACAGAAAACTGCAGAGTTGTTTTTTTAAGTAGATTAAGAATTTATTTCAAAAGTGTTTAATTTACCATGATATCAAATATAAAAAGGAATGCTCACAGTAAATAATTTGAATAAATGTAAAATGTTCTAACCATGCAGTAGTTTAAGATGAGTTATTTTATAAGAAGTGCAAATCACAAAACAAAATGCACTGCCTGGCCAAAACAAAAAGTTGCCACCTGGATTTAAGCAAATAGGTACGAGCCTCCTCTTGAAGAATTACTGCATGGGCGATTATCTTTCAGCTGGTAACAAGTTATTTAACCCCAACTGGTGCAATGAGTCGGCAGCACGCTGGCACAACTGGTAGAGCTGCTGCCTCTCGGCGAGCAGGTCCCCGGTTCAAATCCAGATCCAGGGGCATGTTTGCATGTTCTCTCCGCACATGTGTGGGTTTTCTCCAGAAACTCCAGTTTCCTCCCACAGACCAAAAACATACATGTAAGTTTGATTGGTAACTCTAAATTGTCTCTAGGTGAAAGAGAGAGAGTAAATGGTTGTTTGTCTCGTTTGTCTCTATGTGTCCCTGTGATGGACTGGGGACATGTCCAGGGTGTACCCCACCCCTCGCATAGTGACTGCTGGACATGGGCACCGGTAAAAAATGGAAGAAGCGAGTAAAAGATAATGGATGGATGGATGGTGCAATGAGTTGCTTCTCATTTCTTAAACAACCATGTGGAAAGACGCATGGCGTGGTCGTGGAAAAGATGTCAGTTTGTTTGAGAAGGGTCAAATCATTGTCATCAAGCAGAGAAAACATCAAGGACATTGTAGAAACTACTAAAATTGGGTTAAGAACTGTCCAACGCATTATTAAAAACCGGAAGGATAGTGGGGACCGATCGTCTTAGAGGAAGAAATGTGACCGAAAAAATCCTGAATGATCGTGATCAGCGATCACTTAAACGTTTGATGAAATCAAATCAAAGAAAACAACAGAACCACTCAGGGCAGTGTTTAATAGAGAAAGTTGGAGCATTTCCACACACACAATGTGAAGAACTCAAGGCATTGGGACTGAACAGCTGTGTAGCCTTAAGAAAACCACTAACCAGTGAGGCCAACTGGGAAAAAAAGGCTTCAGTTTGTTAGGGAGCATAAAGATTGGACTCTGGAGCAATGGAAGAAGGTCATGTGGTCTGATGAGTCCAGATTGACTCTGTTCCAGAGTGATGGACGCATCAGGGTAAGAAGAGAGGCAGATGAAGTGATGCACCCATCATGACTAGTGATCAATGCAAGATCTTGTTGAAAAATTAATGAAACACTGGATGGAAATAGATCTTGTGACGTTGTAGAAGTTTATTGAAATAATGACACAGTGAATACATGATGTGATCAAAGATAAAGGCGGTCCAACCAAATATTAGTGTGTGACCTTTTTTATGGTGGTGACCATTTTTTTTGGACAGGCAGTGTATTTATAAGCACCATACTGTTTGATCTTACTTGTCAGCTGTTGTCATCAAACAAAAAAATGTAATTTTTATAGACTTAGTTGTACTAAAGCTCAAATCGGACAAGAATGTCAATTTAATGGTCTGAGAGAGGTCAAGACTGAAATGATCTACTGACATCTTAAAATCTTTAATGCTATTTTTAATGTGAAATGTTTCATAGGGATTCAAACCAATGTTATTTTTTATAAATATCATTGTCTTTGCAGTACGGTGGTTCAGTTAGAGCTGCTGCCTCTCAGCGAGCAGGTCGCCCTGGTTCAAATCCAGATCTAATTGAGAGAGTGAATGGTTGTTTGTCTCTTTGTGTCCCTGTGATGGACTGGAGACATGTCCAGGGTGTCCCCCGCCCCTTTCACAGTAATGGCTGGACATGGGCACTGGTTACCTCCGCAACCCGAAAAGGAAGAAGCGGGTGATGGATGGATGGATGCATTGTTTAAATGTTTGCAATAAATGATTATTTAGATACAATTCTAAGTTATATTGTGAATTCCAGTTGCTGCAGCCGGTGACTGAAGCACCTTTAGTGTAGTCTGGGTACATGCTTCAAATGTTATCAGCCATTAAATGGCCATTCTTAGTTGTTATCATCCCCATAGGTTGTGTTCAGGGCGTAGCTTACATGAAATAGAACAGGGTTACATAAAGCTAACAAAAATAAAACTTCCTGTTTTACACACATGCAAAGCTGCATATTATCTGCGATAACGTACCTTTAAAACTACTAGGAGGTAGGAGGGACAGTCTGAAAGCAACTTTTGGGGATGATAACAACTAATAAAGTTCAGTAAAGGTTGAATGAATAAATGAAATTAATGGGCTGATAATATCCGAAGCCGCTGGTCTGGGGCTCTTTCAGTAGAAATGTCATAATAATTCTGCTGTGTAATGGATAACTGAAAACTATGTAAAGATTCAGGTCTTTTAGCTATGATTTTTAAAAATCAAGTCTATTTTATGATGGCAGCCATCTACTTCAGTCTTGACCCCACCCAGAATAGCCCTTACTTTGTTAATTCAGATTTTTTTTTCTTCTCCAAATTGAGGCCGTTCAATGTTTTTTGTACACAAAGTAAGATATTTATTGATGTATCCTGTCCACAAACCGCACTTCAAAACATCTGAACTATCCCTTTAAGTTTGGTACCATAAGTTGATTCTTGAAATGCACATGTCACAAAATAATAATTATCAGGTCCTTGTTGAACATGTTCTGTTTTTGTGAAAGTTTTAAACTCGTCTGCTCGTGCAAATTGAAGACGATTTGTTTTAACGCTTAATGCCAAAAAATCAAATGACGAAAAACTCTTTTTTTGAATTGTAAAACTTCTTTTAACTGTTCGAGACTTGCTTTCTATAAATGAGATGTGCAAAACTTATACAATCGTAACACTCTGAGGGAAAAAGTGATAAAATAAAATATAAAATCAGATGTAAAGACCAAGGAACTATTTGTCATATGCACTCTGTAAAGTAGTGCTTGACCTTCGCAGCACAATAAATAAACGCTCAGCTTCAGAAAAATAGATAAAGAGCGTATGAATTTATGAAAAGCGAGGCGAGACGGTTTATTCTGCACCTTGGAAACAGTCAGTGAGAAAACAACTGCTGAGTGTCTATTAATAGATATTGTTTAGGGACAGTTTTGTCAGCTAGTGTATCTGTTGCCATGATCAAGACAACTTTTAATCAACTTTAAGATTGTTTTAAAGGTTTGTGAGTTCATAAATTAAATGTAGGGCAGCACGGTGGAACTGCTGCCTCGTAGCGAGAAGATCGCAGGATCTCCTCCCAGCTCGGGTCCTTTCTGGATGGAGTTTACATGGAGATTTTCTCCAGGCATGCTGGTCTCCTCCCACAGACCAAACACATGCGTGTTGGTAACTCTAAGTTGTCTCTAGCTGTGAGTGAGCGTGTGAATAGTATCTTTCTGTGGTGGACTTGTGACCTGTGCAAGGTGTACCCTGCCTCTCGCTCAGTGACTAGAGGAGATAGAAACCATCTTCCCACAACCCAGAAATGAGAAGCAGGTAGAGAAAATGGATGGATGGACCAGGTGTATTACCGCAGACAATATGACACATTGTACTGCAGACTTCAGTTGTCCCTGCTCGTATATGTACCTGGCATGACGGTCTTCTTGCAGGTGCTGCACTTGGAGGAGTAGTCCTGTGCGTAGCACTCAGTGCAGAGCAGTAAATCCTCCTTGGCTGCAAAGGCCTTTTCGACCAATGAGCGACTGCACTTGGCACACTTGAAGCACTGCTCATGCCAGTGGCGATCCTTATAGGACAGATCCTTAGAAGGTTTAAGACATTATTTAAATAATTTGTTAATGTTTTCTCAAGTGAAATAAATGAATCACCATCATCATGTATTTAACAACTATCTTTTATTGTCAACGTTTTTGTCACGATCACAGCTCATTCCAGAAGCTTCTATATTGTTTCCTTACCTTGCAGTTACAGCCAATAGGCAAAGAGCAGCCCTCACAACAGTTGGCAAATAGGTTTTCATAACACTTCGTGCAGTACTGCGTGTCGTCTTTCATTATGTACTTCTTCCCCAGCAGAGAGTCTTTGCAGTAATGGCAATCAAATCGCTCACTGGTGGACATGTTTCCTCAGTTTCTCTTTTCAAACAGAGCAGGAGGACAGTTCAGGCAGTGTCTTCTTCCTTTCATCAAGCAAGAAAAGAGGATGTAATAAAGGATGTCCTCATCTTTCTTCCTGAAAAGCAGTGCTGCATTAAAGTTTTTACCTGAGCTGATGTGGAGCAGGAACGACGCTGGATAGGGGCTGCAGTCGTCCAGATACAAGGGGTGAGGCTGTGATGAAAGGGGGTCAGGGAGGATTGTGGGGGTATCTACTGAGGGACTCTTCTATAAATACAGGCCCACTTATTAGAGGTAATCTCCAGAGGGAACTCACATACTCCCTTGCATCATTCGCCACCTTTTAAGGGAGCGCGTGGAGCTCACATCACTAAGCCTTTAAACTTATTTAATCCATTCGTGCTTCCTACCAAAATGAAAACAAAAACACGATGCGAACTGAATGTTTAAGGCGCTATTTAGACAAAAGACAGCGTGATGTTTCACATCATCAGATATCATGTTAGATGAACTCCACATAAAACAAAGGGGGTAGATTTTCATGCCATATCAGGGACAGTTGGCCGTTTGGATGCAGCGACTCGTGTGGACTCTCTTCTAGTCTTCGTCTGTGCCTGCAGCAACACAAACGGGTGCAGATGGCTTACTGGAGGTATGTGCCAGCAGGATTCTGGTTGCCAGGTACTAACGGAGCTATATTCAGGAGTTGTTGGTTACTGAGAGCACCTTGGAAGCATTTCAGAATGTAAAAGCTGCAAAATACAGACGAGGAGAGGGATAGGCTTTTTCAATGTTAACCATGTTTTGAAGCACTGCTTCAGTTGTGTTCGTGTTCATTAAGCTTGGTTTCATCAAGTAGATCGAGCTGTAGGAATAAAAATGCTTGAGTGAAACAGTACCTCTATGTTTAAATGTTCAAATTCATTTGCATCTTTGACTGAGAGTCAACTAATTGCGTTTGAGCTGTGGCACGTATATCCGTATCAGTTTTCCAACAAAATAAAGGAGCAGACAAACATCTTTATAAAAATAGCCTGTAAAGACCACCAGCCCAGCCCACTGCCCTAATCCCTCACAGACACACACAGGAAGGTCAAATAGGGAGATGAGGCTGAGAGGAATGCAAATCTGATGAACTCTCTTCCCTTCTGTCTTCTCTTGACATTTACTTTATGACCACTCCTTGTAAAGAAACACATGCACTCCTGTAATGAATGTAGTCCATTTTTAGATCGGCTAATAAAGGGTCTGCTTTGTATAAAGGTGTTATTTAATTTAATTTTTAACAAACATACTGTCATGGTCTGAGTCTTGTGTTAGTTTTCTGTGATTGTGTTGTTCAGCTCCTGTCCCTCTCGCTCTCACCTTTCTCTCACATTGTCTTTTTTACTTCTCTCTCTTTCTTTCTCTCACATGGTCCGGTGTTTTATTATCCGTCGTTAGTGTCTCTTTAAATAATGCTGAGCCATTTTAAGAAAAAAGGTTCAATCGTGTCATCTGGACCAGTTTCTTTAAGTGAGAAACGTTTCATCCCCCATCTGGAAGACTTCGTCAGACTGCGGCCTGCCAACCAGATCTGTCCCATAGGTGGCCTTCACTGCTGAGTTTCAAGACAACGTCCTGTTGAAGCAGCTTTTGACACATACAAAACAATCCATCATCATGTACTGATGTGCCATTTTGTTTGTCCCTCATTACGCATTACTTCAGACGCCATACACGTTTCTTACCTTTCAAGTCTACGAGTGCTTTTTCCTTCTTCCTGTTATTTTTCCTTTGCGTCTTTTGAGTTCTATTTCGTATAGGCTTCGCCCTTTAAGAATGTCGCTAGTGGGTTAAAGGCGAAGCTTTTAACGCCTTTAACCCACTAGCGACAGTCTTAAAGGGCGAAGCCTATACTCATAGAATCTGGGGTTACAGTACGTTGGTGTAGTGAACTCGGCCTCCGACCAAAACCTGCCTCTGAGGACCTTCATGGGACAGGAACTGTTATTTCATTAATTTTAATCCAGAAATACAAATTAGCTCATCCAGAGACTGTCTAATTGTATCCTGAATTAATAAATTGAAAAAACACTCTTCTTTTTATATTATCATCACTATTTTACAATATCTTGATAATCAAAAAGTGTGTTTAGTTCATATCATTTCTAATGTTGAAGTGAACCACTCATTTTAAATCAACTGTGAAACAGTATTAATGATTTTTTTTAAACCTCATTTAAATTAGAAATCAAGTTAAATGTCTATTTACAAAGTAATTGTGCATTTTGATTTTCTGTCTAAATGAGAAGTCAGTGATGTCGGTCAAAAGTCAGACAGTCAGAAGACAAGTTATTAGAACGGACTGTATTGTTTTTAAACCTAGCAGATGGTAAAAAGAGAAACACTGGTAGCTGCGTTCCTCTCACTTCTTCATAACATTTCTCTGTCTGTACTAAACGTTCCTAAACATTCCTGAACCCTCTCTTGACTTTTAATAACCCTCTGACATCACTAGAACCACCCTCTGTTGGTTGTTTCAACCAATCAGGAAGTATTAAGTGACCGGAAGTGAAGACTCTTTAAAAGTCGACACTTCCTGGAACTATTCAGTTCTTGGACCAGTTCTTCTCATTTTTTCTGAGTCTTCTCAGCCTTCTCGAGTCTTGGAGCAGTCGGATTCAGTCTTTGATGGAGTCTTCTCAAGCCTTCTGGAGTCTTCCACTTCTGAGTGGAAACTCTGACGGAGTCACAGATACGTGCTGTGAATCCACCCGGGCGTAACGCCTACAACTTCGAAGGAAGCTGGTTCTGTTTAACGGAGTAAACCACATGACTTCTGACGATGCCCAGCCACCCTGACCGGAGACGTTGTAAAAGGATCGTACTAATGGACTTCCATTCCGGAGCGGAGGTATCCCCGTCTAAGGTAACGAAGTCTCTGCACGTCCTGAAGTGTACCGGAGGTTTGAGCTGGTGTTGAAAGAAGCGTGCTAATTCTGGTCAACAACATACACCTTCCTTCATCCATCTCCCTTTAAACTCCTTCATTCCTTCCTTTAAACTCTTCTATTTTGCCAGTAATCTAGATGCCTTCAGAAATGTCCTGTTGTCTTATTAATAAAGCGTGCCAAGTCTTTATTAATCAGAACCAGATCAGCTAATCAAGTGTACAATGTTTTGATGTTAAATTTTGATTCTGTTAAATAAATGACCGCATTTATTCTGATGGGTCAAAGAAAATTAACGTCTCTTGTCACTGATTAAACAATACTCACAGTTACCTCGGTCACATGGCATTAATTTAACTCGAAAAAGAAAGAACCCGTTGTTAAAAATTAATTAGTAGTGAAGCGACAGCAAAGGCTGACCCCCACATTTCACTACATTTGGTGGGACCGTACGTGTTATAAATAACATAAATACTGGCCCGTGCATCCACAGTTAAGCTGTCCGTTGACTACTACATTGGTTTTGCATTTGCATACCTGCAAACTTGTCGCCTTTCTGCAAAATCTCCAATTTTAAACTAAAATACTTTACGTCATTTATGTGACTCATGCAGATCCTAAGATTTTGTTGGGTGGTGCTGGTGGGGGAGGGGGGTGTCCAGAAGTGAGGTGTATGGCACAACTTCCCTTTGAGAAACAGTGTTCGTCCTCAGTCACTTGGCTTAGCAGGAACTCATCTTTTCGGGGGATTTTGTCGACGGGGCACCCCTAAAGTCATTGTTTCAGATAAATTGTGTCCCATTGATTTCATTATCGATGGGGAGGAGAGGGAGACACCTCCATGTTGTGCAATAGCTTACCACTATGTTAGTGTTGACTAGTGGTAGCTTAGCATGTATACATTTGAACATTGTAGCTGTCTGCCACATCAAGATGCTGCCCTAAAATTTGAAAAGTCCAGCTGATGGTGTTGTAGAGAACACCTTGAAGGAGAAAAAGTCCTGGTAACACAAGTTTTCTGGAAAGTAAAATTGGCAAAATCAGTGATGAGGAAGGAAAAGTGGACAGGAAAACAATGGGAGAAGATGTGATTCCAAGTGAACATTGAAGGAAAGAAGAATAAAGTGTAGAAATTGTGGCATCAAGGTAAGAAGGAAGCTGTAAATGATTTTGTTTTAATAATTACATGCATGTTGACAAAACTGACTAAAAATGTTTGTTAGGGTTGTGTGTGTGTGTCAATATTGCTTGGCATAATGTTGTGTTAAGGCTGCCAGGTCATTTATTTGTTATGAGTAGGCTTCACTAAATCAGAAAACAGTAAAAAAAATAAAAAAAATTAAAAAGCCCCTTAAACTTCACTGCTGGTGGTTATCAAAATGTTCATTTGGTAAAATTAATATATTTATTTTTATACAAGCAGTTCAGAGTCACCATTGCTTAGTACAACAGCATGTTGCGTTACAAATAAAACTAAATCAAAAATTAACCAAATAGAAGCCAAGTGCACCCCTAAAGTCATTGTTTGTGATAAATTGTGTCCCATTGATTTCATTATCTTAGTCACGGAGTGAGTTTAAAAAGAGGACGATGAATATATGGACTAGTTGAATGAGGTGTTTCTAAAATATCCTGATGCATGCTCAATAATTTCAACAATTTTTAATATCTCTCCAGAGGACCTGACTTTATTTTGTTAGATCAGAATCAGAATCAACTTTACTGTCGTTGCACCGAAGCTCAACAAAATGGTCTAAAATAGTTGTTGAATCAAGTGTTTACATCTGTAGGTGAACATAACTGTTTAACAACCTGTTAAAATACACCAGAATGCAGGAAATGGCATCTACTTTATTCAAAAATCCCCCCCCCCACCCCCACATTACAAATGCTTCTGATGCCAATGGGCATGAAAGAGGCACATGGTCAGGCAGTGGAGGGGGGCTCTTGAAGGCTTGTCAAGGCCAAAATCTTAAAAAATGAGTTTTTTACTGTTAGTAAAATGCTCTGCTGTATTTGACTTGCTGCTGTTGTTGGTTGTTTATTTATTTTTTTGGTTGACGCCATCTTTCCAATGTATGTCCTCATTAAATTAGAA